ATTTCCAGCCAGAAGAAATCTACTGGTCAAACAAAAAGTCACTATAAATCAGATCTTTGCACAGAGAAGGCTTCACTCTGGCTTCAAGACTTCTCCTGTGGATAAACCAGGCAGCTGTATGACTTCAGCTCCACCACTAGATGTCACCAACTTCAGGTGTCGATCCAAACATTGTTTCTCGTCCAAACAGCTGATGAGTTAGAAACAGGTTGTTCTGAAACCTATTTTCTTCTACGTTATGGTTCCATTTAGTTTTGATTTGTGTCAGCAGGTGACACACACCTTTTAAAACAATTTGATCTTATCAGCTCTGAATCACCTTACATGATGTGTCATAAAATCCCGGAAATATCTATATTTTATGATATTAGAAGTACCGGCTATGTAGGTCATCTGCAGGTTCCTTGTGTAACTAATTTCCCGTTTTTATGGGGAAGACAGAAAGACTCATCCCGTCCGGAGGCTTGGTTCACACGAAAAAAAACTGCTTTGTCATACCTCATACGATGAATACAGCAAAGTTATGGAAGCAGGTGTTACGCTCGGTGTACATCAAGAGGTATAAAACTTATGAAATGATTTAAAAGCCATCATTCACATTCCATCCCTGCAGTTCTTCTCATTCACTTGCTTTGCTTCTTTGTTTAACAGCACAGTAGGACANAAAAAAAAATGTTACAAAACAGTTTTATTTTTAGACACCAGCAGTACATCAGAAATAGTGTGAAGTGAATGATTCCTCTTCCTTCGCCAAACATGCTGACAGGCTCCAGAGAGCTGTGCAGAGTTAAAGGGAGGCAGCATTGCTAATTAAAAACAAACAGCTTCCAGGACAGAACTTGAAGGGGTTTCGGTGGAGTACAGAGACACTTTTCCTCTCCTTCGCTGGCTGTTTTTTCGGAGATGGGGAGGCCTGATGTGTTGTGGTGGTGATCCCACATCTGTGCTCCTGAGGGAACTGAACTTATAACCTCCGCTGCAAGAATGTGAAAAATCTACACGACCACAATGTAGAGAACGCATGGCAGCCGCGACTCATGTCCACATGTCTTTATGTAAGAAGGCAGTCTGGCGGAATGAGTGTTAGACGCTGGAATACGTTGATCAGCTCAATAATAGATTCATTCTCAGATCCAGGAAGTGATGAAACACAACGCTGTGAGTGAATGGGATTAGAAAGTGTTACACACAATAAAACTGTCATTTTTAGATAACTTTCCTTTTACATATTTTACATTTTCCCTTTATTTTTGAAATATACAAAAATAACAACAAAAATTACAAAAAATATATTTTTTATGTAAGAATGTTTTTTTTTTTTTTTGCAATTTGTTGTAATTTCACAAATATTTACATTTTATTTTATATATGTAACTGCTATGAGAAGTACACTGTGTGCACAATTATTAGGCAAGTGATTATTTTGACCACATCATCATTTTATCCATAATTTCCAACTCCAAGCTGTATAAACTTGAATGCTTATTGGATTTTATTCATATCAGGTGATGTGTATTTGTGTAACGAGGGAAGGTGTGGCCGAAGGAGATCAACACCCTATATCAAGGTGTGCATAATTATTAGGCAGATTCTTCTCCTCAGGAAAAATGGGCCAAAAAAGATATTTAACTGACTCTGAAAAGTCAAGAATTGTAAAAAGTCTTTCAGAGGGATGCAGCACTCTTGAAATATCAAAGATATTGGGGCGTGATCACAGAACCATCAAACGTTTTGTTGCAAATAGTCAACAGGGTCGCAAGAACCAGTTCTCCCCTGTGCAGCGTGGGTTCTCTCCGGGTTCTCCAGCTTCCTCCCACACAGTCCAAAAACATGTTGAGGTTAATTGGTGATTCTAAATTGTCCGTAGGTGTGAATGTGAGTGTGCTTGGTTGTCTGTCTCTAAGTGTAGCCCTGTGATAGACTGGTTACCTGTCCAGGTGAACCTGCCTTCACTCTGAGTCAGCTGGGATAGACTCCAGCCCCCCATGACCCTAGTGAGGATTAAGCGGTGTACAGATGATGAATGGATATTGTTGTTGCCCAACTGCTGAAATATTGCTAAATATAATTTAAGAATAAAAAATAAATAATAATTCATATTATTTACTGATATAATTATAGAATTATATATTTCCGGCTTCCAACAGGTTGCAGAAGAAAATTGAGTCTTTAACTATCTAGAACTGTGGATGTGTGTGAAGGGAGCCAGAGTTCCCGCTCAAAGTTTAAATGAACCAAAGTTCAAATTAATTTTCTCCTTTTTTTTTTGCAGTGTACTTTCATTATCAGGGTTTTGTTCGTGACGCTGCACAGAGGAAAAGTCCCGTCGGCTCTCTGCTTGTTCTATATGTTCAGGTGTCAGGTTTCATGGAAAGTTTTTTTTCTGCCCTCATAGTAAACAAACAGCTGATTCAGTTGTAGCACATCCATCTGTTAGTCTATTTTCTTCCCTGAAACACTGAAGCTTCACACGCTCACATTTCCACTGGGAAATAAATCTGCGGCGATAAATGACAGCTTGACGAACTCCAAGGTTTTTTTTATTCGCTGCTCTATTTCCCTATCGGAAAATCGATCGTCTGTCTTACTTTGGGAAATGACGGCAGTGACGGTTGTATCCACACTGCAAATCTGAATGTGTATTTACTGTATTAACACGCGTGAAGGCTGCCATTTGGTTATCTGCATGACTCTGGCATGGCTGACCTGCCTTGGCATCATGTAGGTGTGACATGACCAGGAGCCCTCCTGCCTGTGAGCAGGAATCAGACCTGCATTATCTGTGTTTGTATCTTGGATGGAGGCATGAATTCAGTCAAATTTCACCATAATTCAGACATATAGAAACACAGTTGGGAAATATCATTAACCTTTAAGCTGATGCCTCAAACTTGGTTGGCAACAGCAGTTTACTTCCACATCTAGCAGCTGCAGACAATGTTCCTGACCACCTGCTGAATTTAATGAAGAAATCTTTTTCTTACATCAGCTGACAAATCTCTGTAGGCTTCCTTTTCACAGTTTTCCTTTGCAGGCTGTTTAGTGCAGCCCAAACCTTTAAGCATGTTCCAAACACAGGATCCACCACTGTAGAACCTTTTTTAGTGAAGATAAAAGAACCTATAGCAGAGTAGGTATTTCTGAACAGTCATGAAAAACTGCTGTCTTGATTTGTCAGACTCATAGAGTTCAACAGCAACATGTGCCAGTTTTCCTGTCTTCTCTGTGTCCTCATCAAACATCCCCATCAACAGAATGAAATTCTCCATATGCACTAACTAAAACAAGTCTCTACTGTTCTATTTCTTATGTGCTGATATAACCGGAGCTCTATCCAGTGGCTACAAGGGAAAGAGAAGGACTTGAAGGATCGATCACAGGGTTCTTGTAAATGTACTGTCATGTTGTCTTTACATGTCATCTGGTGCATCCATCCATCCATTATCTATACACCGCTTAATCCTCACTAGGGTCATGGGGGGCTGGAGTCTATCCCAGCTGACTTAGGGCGGGGACACCCTGGACAGGTAACCAGTCTATCACAGGGCTACACTTAGAGACAGACAACCAAGCACACTCACATTCACACCTACGGACAATTTACAATCACCAATTAACCTCAACATGTTTTTGGACTGTGTGGGAGGAAGCCGGAGAACCCGGAGAGAACCCACGCTGCACGGGGAGAACATGCAAATGCAGAAAGATTCCGGTGCCCCCACCGGGACGCGAACCGGCGACCTTCTTGCTGCGAGGTAACAGTGCTAACCAACTGCGCCACCTTGCAGCCATCTGGTGCGTTCTTCCTTTAAAATATCAAAGCTATGAATGTTACTAGTGTCCAAACTTTGCAATGGAGTCGTGGATTATTGCAAACCAAATACAACAAAATATGTAAAAATACAACTGCAAATGTCACTCTGAAAAGTGCAGCATGTTCTCGGCACTCAAGGTCAGTAGAACCACATTATCCCCAATATGTTTGACAGCCAGCAGCAAATGTGCTCATCATCAATGAACAGCACTCTAACAACGGACACAAAAAACACAGAAATACATAAAAAATAGTTGAAAAGAGCAGCAGGGACAAATGACTTCTAAATCTACTGAACTTGCATCTTGGCTAATTGTACCGACAACCAGATGGAAGCAACCTGAACTAAAGTCCTTGTGGGCAAGTCTAGCACTCAGCATCCATGTTGGTAACACCTCCAGGCTGTTACTTTGGGCTAACAAGGTAACGCCGCTATCCAAATGAACAGAGAGAGAGATATGACTGCAATTTTAATGGTCATCACAACATACAAGCTGCACGTTTAGAATCGTTCGTCAAATTGGATGTAATTGCCAGAACATTTTGTTGACTTTTCCCCCAAAACACGCGTTTTTCCCGACACTGTTACAGTTCTGCTATAAGCACAGTTTCAGGACGCTGTGGCATCACTGCAACAACCTGATTGGTTGGATTAATGATCAGTTTCTTGTTAAGCGGGTGGGTCATGTGTCATGTCGTCTTTGGTGTTTTCTCCCTTCGATTCCTATTCAGGATTCTTGAAAGTGAAAGTCTCTCCTTTCCAAACGTTTTTGCAGGAACTTGAAAAATGAAGAGGCGACTTCCTGCGACTTTTATTTTGTTGCACATTCTAACAACTCCCTCCGACCTGTGACCCGCACCAGCAAACAAAAGAAACAAAACATTGTCATGAAAGTGGCGTCAGCATTAAAAGCCTCTGATAAAAGCACAAGCCCTGATGAGCTTTTGATCGACACTAAATAAAGCGTGTGAAGCTGTAGTCGAACTAAAATACTGGTTGGAAGGCATCTCGTTTATGTTTTTGCTTTTGGTGATGGCAGTTTAACTTGAGATTGTCCCTTCAAACTGGTGTTGTAATGAAGCGGACTGTTCCTTTAGCGCTCTAAAACCATGACGCCCAGGTTTCTTAGCATGTTGCTGCTCTCACTCAAATGCTGTTTTCTTAGAATGGGATCGCCCAAAACTAGTAAGACTAACGACAAAATCCTGTTTTTCGTTGGAAACATTGGAAAGCTGACTTTCTTTAAAATGAAGCTGCACTGCATTTGAGAGGAATCTAATGCTTTAAGTACGTTGAACTTAAAACCAGTGGCATTAATATTGCTTGTTAATTTCATTTGGATTAACTTAACTCAACTGTGTGCTACCAATCGAAGGAATTCATTTCAGCTGGTGCAGGTGCTCAAACAAAAACATTCAAATACGATTCAGAATAGGAGACAATAAAAGGTCACAATCGTCGCTGAAACTCGTGCCAGTCCTCGTATCAGGAGTTAGTTTTGGAATTTGGAAACAAAAAGCCTCTGCAGGTGTGATTTGTATATCTGGGTGTGAATATCAGGGAATAACCTTTATTTATCATTTGTTCCAATAGAGAAACCTCCACTGCACGTCATCATATCGCTGCATCTTCCCTCCGATCTCTTCCCACATGTGTTTCCCGCTGTCACTGGGCTCCATTGTCCTCCCTCATGTGCTCATATCAGGATGCATGTATCTGCTTTACTGCATTAATTCCTCTAATCCTTCTCCAAACATCACGTCTTCCTCCATCTCATCCTTCCAATCCGCTGCACGTGAAGCCAGACAGTTACCTCATTCACGAGCAACGTTAAGGAAGCGACAAAGCAGCAGATATTCGTGGAATGTGTTCCAGGTTCGAACGGCCCCGGGTCGCCCACTGTGGCTCCACGACAAGCATAAAGTGGGCGTGGCTTTGCCGTGACATCACAGCAGAGAGGAGAGGAAGAGTATAAAAGAAGTGACAGAGTTCAGGCACCTCCAGACAAAACCACAGCAGCACATTAAACACACAGCTGTAACTGGATTTACAGAAGATCCTCCATGCAGAACTCCATCCTCCAGGGGTCAGCTATGACTACTCAGAGCAGCATTCTTCTCCTCATCACTCTTTGGGCTTCAGTGCAGGATGGTGAGTCTATTTTTAACAATGCATCTGAAAAAGCAATGTTCTGGATGTGCATGAGACGAGCTGGAAGTTCATCAGCAGCCACGATCGACCATATTTAGAGGAAGAAGAGTTGTTTTGTGAGGCAGCTCTGCAGGCTGTGGCTCACATATGTACATTGGCATTAATCTCAGTCACAGTGTGCACACAGAAGCAGAGGAGGTGGCTGCATGTCGGTGCACATGCATGTTTTAGCAAGCAGCTCGTGAAATATAATAGGATCCATTTATCAAGCAGCTGCTCAGTTTATCTTTCAAGGCGATGCTTTTTTTTTTTACTGTCGTGTTGACGCACAGTTTTGTTAAAGAAAGGCAGCAGTGACAGAGTGACATGTTACGCAAGCTTTGTATTTAAAACCACATGGATGGTTGTGAGCCGTGTGGATTTTAGGATGTCAAATATTTCATATATTCATAGTAAATAAGCATGTTGCTTCACTGAAGGATCGAGATTAGTTTTGTCAGAGAGGATGAAGGTGGAATTGGTGATGCAAATACAGAATGTAACGCATCTATCTGTATTATTAGTTTGGAAAACAAAAGGCAGACAGGGTTTACTGACATGTGGCTGGAGATGATGTTGTGTTTGGTTGGCTGTCACTAAGCGGCTCTTTGTCTCTGACCAGGTTTGGGTTTTCCGGTGACGAAACAGCTGGAAGTGGAGGCCAGTGACGGCGTCCCGGTGCACAAAGTGAGGACCAAGCGCTGCGCTTGCAGCAACCTGCTGGACTCTGAGTGCCACTACTTCTGCCACCTGGATATCATCTGGGTCAATACACCCAGGTGAGCATGACGGGACATAAACATGGTTGGAACACATGTGGAACTCTATAGTGACCACTTTGGTGAAATTGCAGCACAGAGCGTCTCACTTTGAGGCCAGAAGCTGCAGAATCATCCCGCTATCACTGTGTAATTAAATGGGCAGCGGCCAAGTATCAAAGAGCAAAGTCTGCAGAGTGTTTATATCATGAGTTCACCTTCCTCCCTCCGCAGCAAGACGACGGTTTATGGCCTCGGCGGTGCTTTGTCTCGACGCAGAAGGTCCACTGACCGCTGTGCCTGTGCCAAGCAGGACGATCAAGCGTGCACCGACTTCTGCCATCTCAGGTGAGCATCTCCGAAAACCAAAACAGTCTCTGAAGTTCTGTTTTTAGACGCGGGTATTGTCTCTCTTTCAGGAGGGCAGGGAGGGTGAGGGAACAGCTGGGGCTATTATTAGCCTAAATGTGTTGTTGCCGTGCCAGTGAGGGTGTGATCACCAAAACAACACAGCTGAGGGCCTGGAATTAATCTCAAAGTTCACGCAGGTTGTTTTTTGATTGGCTCTGAGGAGTGAGGTGTGTAGGAGGCTGGTGCAGGGAGTGAAAAGTTAAGTAAGTAATGCATAAAGTCACCACAGTGGAAACAGTGGCAGGCCAGAGACAGGAGACACCACGTGACAGCAAACAATGAAAAGTGCTGATCAGGGTTGCAACATAAAACGTTTAGTGAGCCCGTAAAGATAAGATTTGTTTTTAGGTTACCTGCATTGTTAAAAAGAATCAGATGTTTTCATGCAAGCAGCGTCAATAAAACACTTTAAAGCAACAAGCAGGGACCTTTACTGTATTTCAAAGGTGGCAGTCAGGTTGATTAAACTCTGCTATTTCCTTGTTTGCAGCCCCGAAGTCAAATCTGTGACGACAAGACATCAGCTCCGCATACTCGACATCCTGAGGTGAGCTCTGAAAAACACGCTTAATAAAACACAGTTTAACCTAAATTTCGGCGACAGTTAAGTGACTGACTTTTGGTCCCTGTGCAGAGCTGCAGCCAAGAAAACTCCAGAGGCCCCCGATTCAGACAGAGACGAGTCTTCTGCAGCTCAAAAGAAGATCCCTCGCTAAATAAACGAGAGCAGTGAGAGTGAAAGAGAGCAGCGAGCACCTGAACAAATGACGCTCCTTTGATAGGGAGGAGGGAAACAAGGGGCTGCTGGGAGACGCGTCCGACGCAGGAAAGGCCGAAGCGCCGCAAAGAAGTCTGTCTGAACCCGCGATGAAAGAGAGGGTGGAAAATGCGACAGAGTCCTGCAGATGCACGGTGGAAACAGATGTGAAGGATGAGAATTGATAGGAGCTGCTATCAAGTTCTGTTTGGCTGTCTGGTTTTTTAAGAGCGACTGTACGAAAAAATAAAAAAGGCCAGACCAGCACTGAGAAAGAGACATGGAAAGGACATGCTTACTGTACATGCAAGTACAGGAATATCTGACTTATATGTTGTTTTTATTATTCATTTTATATAATGTGTGTATCACTTATATTTTCGAGATCATGGAGTTATTTTAAAAATGATCTTTGTAATGAGACACCTCAATGAAATTCACTGTAAATAGCAAAAGTTATGTTTCTGTATCAAGGATTTTTTTGTGTGCAAAAGTAAATAAATTAGAATTGAAGCCTCATATTTAAGTTTGTAGTTTTTGAATCAGTGATTAAGCTAGTTTCAGGTAGCCCACCTGCTGAAGCTGTCCTCACAATAAAGGCTTAAAAAGTAAAATAAAAGACCCAAAAATAATCTTTTCAGACCCCCTTCTTGTTTTTGTGTCGCATCTCCAAATTTATAGCCGTCCTCTGTTTGCTTAAGCAAAGCAAACAAAGCGACTACTGTGAAAGAAATCACAGGGGAAGACTAATTTCAGGGAAAATAAAGCCTCCCGGGCGGCATGTGTGATTCAATTGTGCAAGTAGCAAACGCATTTCTGACTTCTAAGAGGAGGCCTGACATGGATGAATGGTTCAGGAATTCTCGGCTCACATCAATAAAAGCGTTTACCTGCTATTCAAAGGCGGCGCGGGCTGTGTTATCATAAGGATCTGTGGAAAGAATGCGCTGTTTTGTAACTCGAGGGGGTGAGAGGGGAGTTACAAAAGAGTCCGTCACCCTTGTGCTGTACACGCCATCCAAGCTGAATATGCAACAAGGAAACATCATCAAGTGATTTAACCTGCTTTTGCTGACTAATTAAATAGCACTGATGAGCACCGACTAATTTAAGGAGTTTTTCTGAGTTGCGTTTCATTCCTGTCATACTTCAGCTTTTTTCTGAGGAGACCCCCTGCAGCCGTCTTCCTCTGAACAGGCCTGAGCACAGCCAGAGCGAGGCTTCAGGCTGCATCATAAACAGGCTGCCTGCATCCACAGAGTTATGCAAAACTTCACTCAGCTGCACCACGACCAGCATCCGAAACTAAACAGTCATCCTGCAACACAACACAACCGCTACGTACTGTTTTAGGTCAAATTTGATTTTGACATTTGACAGCAGCACTAAAAAAAAAGACATCGTTCTCTTAGCTTAAAATTGGATGGCTGTTCCTAAAGTGACCCAAAATACAGAAAAATCGATTTACTTTTGTACACTAAGGCTGTTCTGGGTCAGATTTCACCATAAAATCAACCAGAATGGGTCAAATTCAAGAAAAGTAGTGGTTTTAGGGAAGAAACTGTGAAACTGCACATGCCTTGTTTTATGTGTATTTTTAATTTACATGTATTAATTTGACATAGGCTATTTAGACACTTAAAATTTGCTATGAGGGTATTCGTACTCAGGATGAGAGAATTCTTGACAGGAATTCTTCAAAGTAAAAATGAGCCTGAATCATCCTGTAAAGCATAAAACATGAACAGCATGTTAAAGTTAAACCACTCAGTTCCAAAGAAGAGAGAAGAAGGAAATGACAGGAAACGTTTATATCGCCACTGGGGATTGGTGCTGTGGTAATTAATTTCAAACTGAGGCTTTGCTTTGTCCCAGTTGCAAAGAACAGCGGTAATAAACACAAGTATTGACTGAGCTGTAAAGAGATTTTAAAAAATAAAAAACATATAAAGAAAAACATTGAAACGCTGATTAAAGATTAACTGACATGTGGGAATTTGACTCCGTCAAGCTCAGCTTTGAGGAAAAACTCACCGGCTGCCTCAGTGGCAGAACTCTGTCCATGGTGCTGGAACTGGAGAGACACCAGTGAACCGCTCGACTGTCGCCATCACAGATGCATGAAGCGTACTGGTTTCCAGCAGCACTGTGACTCTGTTTGTCGCCTGTCCAGTGAGTGTTTTCAGAAAGCCTGGTTTAGGTCTCTTCTAATGAAAAATAAAACATTACATTTGTTAATATTTAGCTTTTATCTTTGTTACCCGATTGCCCATTAAATTAATGTATTTATTTGTATAGCACTTGCTATGTAAAACAAACAGAAGAAAATAAAGACAAATATTTCCCTCTCTTCCCATCCGTCCATAAACATGCTATAAATTAAGGGCTCAATAAAAACAAGGCCTGAGGAACTGAGTAAATGCTGTCATAAATAAATGCAACAAGGAAACACCAAAGGCAGGATAAATGGAAATAATATAGAAGTAAAGTGTTAAAAGGTAAAACACACAACAATGTATGAATAAATAAAATGTTAAAAAATGAATGAATACCTTTTTTTTTTTTTAAAAATCAATACGATCTAATAAAAGCTAGATAAAACAGCTAAAACTTGCTTTTTAAAATACTTCCTCTCTCTGCTGCCCTCAGGTCTTCTTCAGGACGGCTGATCCAGAGATGATAACAGCAAAAGCCTTCCTCATTGTGAGGTTTTTGTTCTGACTTTGGGTTTAATTAAAAGGCCACAACTAGAAGGTTAAAAAGGGGAACAGGGAATCCAACAAACAGGTAGCACAAAGACCAGTAAGAGTTTTATAAACCAATAAAAGGATCAATTCCAAAGCAGACAGGTAGCGACTGCAGACTGGTGTGATGTGTGTTCTCCTTCTGTCAACACAAACAGGAGTAACTGAGATTAATTCTATTGAAGAGACCAGACAGAGCATTACAAGACCATCCTGCAGGTAATTAAAGCTTGCAGGAGTGTCTCTAATGGCTTCAGAAGGAGCAATGGTCACACTCACACATGGTTCTTTAAATGATAAAATGTAATTACAATTCTAGCTTTGAGTCTAGATTTTAGGCTAAAAACCTGAGATGCAAAATGACTGTGTGGTTTTGTCTAGAAAAAAAAAACATGTTGCAAGTGTGAAATAAAATACCACAAAACCCTGGACATATGTCTGAACTGCACTGGACTGAGTAACCCCGTGACCCTACAGAGGATAAAGTGGTGTATAGATAATGAGCGGATGGATAGACAAAGTCATCTGCAAGAACTTGTCTTACAAACTGTTGACAGGAGAGGAAAACAATTTTGCTAAAGTGATGTTTCAATAATGCAGCTTCATCAGACATCTATCTTACAACTTATCTCAGGTGTGCATTAAGTCCAGTTCATCAGCTGTGTAAGATCCAATGTGTATATTTTAAAATGCATTTCTGTCATTGCTTACAATCAAAATTAATTGCGCCAGAGTTAGTTCGGTAGCAGCAAATGTACTTTTTAAATCTGTCGTCTTTCTGCTGATAGACAACAAACCAGCACAGAGCAACAGTGACTCAACATAAAACATATGAAAGTTCATCAGTGTGAGATAATAAATACAATCAGTTTATAAATTCAAGGCAATCATTGTTGGAAACACTTTTGGGCAAAGTTTAAGGCTGGTTTAAAGGTTGGATGGATTCCACTTCCTCAATGCTTTAACCTAGAAAGGAAACCAAAAGCTGCATTTCTAAATTGTCTCTTGCAGATGCTCTACTCTACATTACAATAAAATAAAAAGTCATCAACACTGAGGAAACGATTTGATTTTAGACAATTGTTTTGATGATCTGTTGTTGTTGTTGTTGTTGTTGTTGTTTTATCTCAATGTGAAAACAGCGCTTGGAGAATGGACCCAGAAATGACCCCACACAGAACTATCACCGGAACCTGCCGCTCCCCTCGGCTTTATGGAGCCGTATAGTGATTCTCAGCTGACTGCTCGCCTCAGTTGCAGTTTTAGTGCTTTGCGTCACTCTCGCCGCTCTCATAACCGGATCAGGCAGCTGTTTTCAGTGGGGAAAAAAAACTCAGTGTACTTCTACCTTCACCAGCATCAAACAGCGTTAGAGACTATATCTGGTGAACATGGTGGAGCGTTTGGAAGCTGGAGATGGTGTGGAGACCAAACACAGAGCTAAAAGACAGTGAACGTTGGACTCTTTGACTCCAGCTAAATGGTAATACTGTTGCCAGATGTGTAAAGAAATCAGTCTACATAAATCAGTTCAGAAGCTGGTGATATGGTGTTAAGTTAAACTTGCTAACACACTGTAAAAATATGTTATTGCAACTTTTGAAAGACATTAGATTGCTCTCTATCACATTTAACTCCTTTTTCTCTGCATGCTTTAGAACTGTTGCAGAGAGAGACGTCAGCCGACAGCTTAGGAACAATGTTATTAGTTACTTCTATTCTCTTCCCTCTGAGAGGAACAGCACTTAAAGATGTTTAAAAAGGTAAAAAGTTCAGTTTCTTCTCAAAGGCTGCTTGGTTTGCAGCTTATACTGGTCGAGGGCAAAATAGACTCAGAAACAGTAACAATGAACACCACTTCTTTACAATGGTTTTCTTGAATTTAAATAAAAAATGTTAAAAGCAGGAAGGAATCAAACTAGAATGGTGCTTGAAAATTTGTGAGCTAATTAAAATTTTCTACATTTCTGCATAAATTACCTAAAACTGCACGAGATTTAAAAAAAATTTTTTTTTTTTACACAAGTCTTAAAAATAGACAAAAACTCAAATTAAGACCTGAAGAAAAAATGTTACCGATGATGATTTATGCATTGAGCTTACTGATGCAATATTACACACCTGTAATGGAGGGTAACTTCTCATCAACTAAAGGCTTCTCTCACATTGGTGATGTTAATGTTCATGAGTCCAGAAGTTTCAGAAAGACTCTTGTATGTGGTCTAATTTGCAAGAATACATTTACTAGTATCAGTGGCAGACAGGGGGCACAAGCAGCTCTTTAATAGGTTCATTGACTAGGTGGGATCTCAAATGTGATTGGATTATTGATGTGTACTGATTGACTGCTTTTAACTGGGGAGGCAGCCCCTTTCCTTACATATACATATATATGGGGGTACTGGGAACGTAGTGAAGGAATGAGTTGTTCAGAAGGCAGCACAGTGCAGCACTACTAACTGCTAAATGCAAGTTGTGGAAGTTTTCTTGTAAGTTTTTTCTCATCTTATTTTTTGTTTCTTTCTCTTCTTTTTGGAGATGTGCTGTTTGTTATTATTTTTTGTCAGCATGGTCTTTGTCCTCCTTATTCCTCCCAAAGCTACCGCCACCCTTCCTTGGAACAAT